ATCAAGCTTCGGTTCATAAAAAAATAAAAAATGGAAACGCCAAAGTATTTCAATTTTCAATTGCAAAAAATACAATTTTTATTTTATTTTTAACTCGACAATAAATATGATAAATAAAAAAATAAAATGACTTTGCTTTCAGTCGATTGTAAGAATTAATTTTGTTCCACTTTACTGTCTATAAAACCTTGATATTTGAAAAAAAAATTGAAAATTTTTTTCATAATTATGTAAAAATAACTACTAAGCGAATGGTAATTCGATTATATAATAGGTAGATAGGGAATCTTTAAAAGTACCTCTTCAATAAATTGTATTTGATTTTCATTCATCTCTCGTAAATAAGAACACATATTTTATTGATAAATTTATCAAATAAAAGGAGAATTTTAAATATTTATTTTTTTATTATTTTTATTATTTTCATCTCAATGTTGTTTATTTATTTAGAAGGTAATAAATTTTAATAAATATTTAATAAATCTACAGAACTGTCAATTATTGATCAAACGGTTCCAATTGCAAATTACTAATTATTAATTATTAGTTAAAAATTAATAACAACTATACTTAGAAATTTAAAATTAATAAGTACTAATTAGCAATTAAAAGTTAATAAGTTAATTTGAAAAGTTAAATAATTATTAAAGGAATAACATAGTTTTTTTTAAATACTACACTTCCAGTTGAGCAACTATTTTAATAATTTAATAACGAAATTTTAATATACGATAGAACGGGAAATTTACTTTTTTAAACTTTTCTATTTCAAGTGAAGATAAATCGTTTGTAAACGAACGTTAATTATTATTCTAAAGTTTGGTATAATGAACAATTCTCGTTCATTGAATGACGTAAGGAGCTTAACTTTGAATAACTATTTGAATTACGGATCTTGTGTGACTGATAAAGTCTCACCCCTTACTGTGCGAAGGATATTCAATTATCGCTTATAGCAATTTGATTGTTTGTTCACTGCAACAAGTATATCAAGTTTACGAGAAGGCACTTTCTATGTGTAGCGATATTAAGCGTGAGAGTATTTTCACACGAGGTGGAAAAAAAAATAATTTATAATTTCTAAATTAACAATTCTTTTGGGATTTTTCCAAAATAACACATTATTTCAAATTTTTGAAATTGAGAAAATAACATTTTTTGTTTTATTTTTTGTCTAAATGATCATAAAATGCAAAAAATTAATAATGGACGAGACTAAAGAAAATGAAAGAATGGGAAAAAATATGTCTGACTTGGAACGATTTTTTCTACTGAAAGGAGAATTGAATGAAAAGTTATGTCAGGGATGATATTGACCTTTACTACTTAAATGGAAAAAAATTCATTTGATCTTCTTTGTCTGGGTAGAAAAATTTATTTCCTCTGGAGGTAACAGTTTAATAATGTTTATCCTTATAGCTGACTAAAACTATTTTTTATCACTGATTTCATAATCAGTTGGTGGTTTTTAGACTAAAAATAATATTTTACTACTTCGAGTTTTGACTTTTATTTTACTCTTTATTTTCTACTGTAATGAAAATTAATCTATAAAAAGCTACGCCTGAATTATATCGACCTGTACTACTTGGGAATTTAACTCTAAATATTATTTAACTGATTTGAACTTAAATCTATATTTGCCTTACGAAAACTTACCTTTTTTACTGAAACGAGAACTGGTTCGAGTAAAAAAACTTACGTCTGACATATATTGAGCTTAACTACTTAAATCGGAAAAAAGTATTCAAGAGCTTTTTTCGTTTTCCCTTAAAGCTAAAAAGAGTATAATAAAAACATGTAAATATTACATGTAATTACATTTACAAATAAATGATAAAAAATAAACAGATAATAGAAAAATATATAAACAGTGTGGTCTGAATAAATTTTCTCGTCACCACTGATTCATGAATTAGATTTTTACATCATCTAACTTTAAATATTATTTGACTTTATCGAGCTTTAGGAAAATTTAAAGAGTCTTGCCTCACCAAAACTTTCCTTTTTCACTGAAAGAAAAATTACTTGAGTTAAGAAAGTTACGTCTGACATAAATTGACCCTAACTACTTAAATCAGAAAAAGGGTATTCGAGAGCTTTTTTGTCTAACTGATACTATATTTTTCTACTGAAAAAGGTAAAAACTTGGTTTTAATAGTAAATTTCTGTCAGACATTCTGACTAATGTAAATTTATTTTTGAAAAACAAAAACAAAATTATTTACAATGTAAAGAAATAAAATAAAATTCTAAATTTAAAAAACATATTTTTTTACTCAAAAAAAATGAATGAAATAAATACCAAATAAAAAAATAAATGTGAACACTTATTGTGTAGAACTATAGAATATGCAGAAATGAAAGAAAAACAATATGAAAAAATAATAGAGGGAGAAAAAAAATATTGCAAAGAAAAACTGAAAAGTGTCAGTAGAAAAAATATAGCCAAAGCGAGGTTGAGTTTATTTCGTCATAGTGGTAAGGGCCAGTGTAAGTTAGACTTTGTAGTTTAGACGCTTATACTGTGCGAGACAGGTTGCGTACGTAAAGGCAAGCCAATATCGTTCCCGAAGAGTTTGTGAAAGAGTCTGGCGGTTGATGTCAGTGGTGCAAATAGAATTTCTCTCTTCCTATCACCACCTCCCCCTCCCCACCCCCGTGTGTCACCAACTTTTCCAAACACCAAAGGGCCCCCCCCTCTACAAAAGAACGTTCAATATACAATCTTTGAAAATACAAAATTTACATTTTCCAACAAATTTGTTAAGTAAATTTTGAAAAAAAATTCAATCACTCTCTATTTGCTTTTCTCCCTTTCTATTCTTTACAAACTTTACATATTTTACCTACTTTAAATAATAACTGATTACATACAAATGTCAACAAATTACAATTTTACCCCCTCACCCCCTTTCTCAAATAGAACAAACAAAAAAAAAGAAATCAAACAGGAAACGGTAAAAAATAATGGAAAATTTAAATTACAAAATAATCCTCTAATCTACCTCTCTCTTCTTTGGGAAAATAAAAAAAGCAGGAGACAAAAAAAAAGTTTTCCGAAAGAAAATATACACAAATGGAAAAGCTTTGTGACTCACGAAGTTTAGCAAATACTCATGCAACATTCATAACATTCAACCCCATCGTTAAAGTGCCACACCTACTCTTAAATCTTTGTCACAATCTGTTCAATTGCGATACAATCGAAAAACTTTACTATTTCAAATGTAATGAAAAATCTCAAAATGTTTTCCGATATTGCATTTTATTTAATACTGAAAAATATTTGAGAGTACCTTTTTTTTAAACTTTGCGAATTATTATCATTATTATTGTTCGTTGGACAAAAAAAAAATTCTACATTGCAATATTAATATTGATCGAGAAAAAAAAATTTTAATCTACTTTTGTATTGTTATTAGTACCAATAATAACAAATATTATTAATATTAATAGTAACAAAAAGAATAATATAATTTTGGAATAATAATTTAAAGAATGTAATTAAAATTATGTTGAAAAACAATAAATTTTTAACAAAGAATTTTATCAAAATTTTTGAAAACGATTGAATTCTCTTGAAGATTTTAAGAGAAATATTAAAATATTTCTCTTAAAATTTTCAAATAATTATTGCATTTTGTTGAAAAATTTTATTAAAATTGTATTCAAAATAATAAACTTCCTACAAATAATTTTACTATTTAAGAAAACATTTGAAATTTTGCGGTAAATATTTAGATAAAAAAATTGAATTCTCTCAAGAAATTGAATAAAAAATTTTTTATATGAAATATAATTGAATTCTTGTAATGAATTTGATTAGAAATTCTGATAATAATAATTGAATTCATTTAAAGAATTTAATAAAAACCTTCAAAAATAAGTTAATTCTTTTCAAGAATTTTTTAAAATTTTCAAAAAGAATTGAATTCTTTCAAACAATTTTTTTAAAAATGTTTAAAAATAATTTAATTTTGTTGAAAAATTTTATTAAAATTGTATTCAAAATAATAAACTTCGTACAAATAATTTTACTATTTATGAAAATATTTGAAATCTTGCGAAAAATATTTAGATAAAAAAATTTAATTCTCTCAAGAAATTGAATTAAAATTTTTTAAAATAGAAAATAATTAATTTCTTGTAAAAAATTTATTAGATATTCTGATAATAAAAATAAAATTCGTTTAAAGAATTTAGTTAAAACCTTCAAAAATAATTGAATTCTTTCAAAGAATTTTTTTTTAATTTTCAAAAAGAATTGAATTTTTTCAAAGAATTTTTTTTTAAATGTTTAAAAATAATCGAATGTTCTTAAAAAAATTTTTTTAAATTGTATTGAAAACAAAAAAAAACTTAGAAAGAATTCCGCTGACATTTAAAAAAAAAAATTTTCAATTCTTTCAAAGAATTTTATTTAACTTATCAAAAATAATTGAAATCTTTAGGGAAAGTTTTAATAAATTGCATTAAAAATAATTGAATTCCTGCGAAGAATTTTTTGAAATTAATTATTGTATTGAAAATAATTTAATTCCTGGATGAGTTTTATTATTTATAAAGTAATTAAATTTTTGCAAAAAATTTTATTATTTTTTGAAAATAATAAATAATAATAGTTAATTAGGTACTTTATTAATTAACGAATTTTTTTTAATTTTGTATCTAATATTATTTAAAAATTGAAGAATTGATATTTGAAAGTAAAAAATTTTTAATTTTTATAATAATAATTTCGAATGAGGAAAAGAATGTTTTTTTATTTGTTTATATCTTGAAAACTGCGTGGTCAAAAAATTAAAAGAAACCAATAAATGACCAAAAATTTCTTGAAATTTTGACTGGGGTATCAAAATATCCCATTTAGGGAATTTAGCATTAAAAATGTAGAAAGAGTATAATGGAAAATAATGGTAATAAGATACAAGTAAAAAATTAATTAGAATGAAATATAGTAATAATATAATTAAATGAAAATTCTTTTTTTGTTTCAGCGTCTACCTGTGATATGGTGTTTAACAGTGACACTACAAAATCCGGTATAGTGACATCGCCGGGCTATCCAAATCCCTATCAATCGAGAGTTCGATGTAATTACGAATTTCAAGGAAGGGGGAAAGAGAGAGTTCAAGTTATATTTCAAGAATTCAATCTCTATCATTCTTCAGAGACTACAAAAGAGTAAGAATATAAAATATATATATATAAATATAAATTTTAAAAAGTCTTTTTAAACTCAACTTTAACTATTGAGTTTGAACAAAGAAAAAAAAGAAAAAAAAGTTGCTTTGCACATTTTTCGTCTTGCTCGACATGTACATATATTACTTTACTATATAAGCAAAAGTAAGATGCATTATACTTTCTTTTCTACTAAAAAATTGATATTTATTCGCATACCACTATTTTCTAGAAAATACCTATCTTTAAAATCTATTGAGAAGTACAAAAGAATTCTTTGAATTCGTCTAACCTTTTAAAATTGAACACAGTTTCAATAAAATTGGGAAACACAAAAGCGAGAAGAAGGAAAGATTCAAATTCTTGAAATGTTTGTTTTTTTTTCTTTTTTTTCCTGCACTCCCCTTTTTCTCTAGTATAAACACCTGATTGACGAAATTCAATTTTGCTTTTAGAGAGTTGAACTTGTATATATACTTTAGAGCGGTTTATTTTTGTTAAACATTTACTACGATATGGCAAGCTGAAGGGAGAAAAAATAAATAACTTTATTCTGAATAAGAAAAAAATAAATATCTTTTATTCGGAATGAAAAAATAAATATCATTTACTCAGAATGAAAATCTAAATAGCTTTTTTTTTAAATAAAAACTATGGTTATTTTAAATCGAAAAATCTATTTAACAGACTTGTTTAGAAAAAAGAAACAGTTTAAAAAGCAGAGGAAAAAGATTAAAAATATTAAGTCTGAATAAAAATTTCCTTTACTACTAAAACAAAAAAATTTGATTTAACCCTAAATGTCTAACTATACTGAACTTTTACTACTGATAATGTAATTACTAATTATTTTTCGGCGGACTAAAGTTGACTTTTACTACTGATTTATATAATTTTGATTTCATTCCTTTTGTCCGCCTATACTGAATTTTTCCACTTTATATCACGTCTGACTCTAATGGTCTTTTACTACTGATTTAAATAATTTTGATTTAATTATTCATGTCTGACTATATTTATTTTTACTACTTATAACTTAATAATTTTTTATTATTACTCTGACTAAAACTGCACTTTTCTGCAATTTTGATATAATTATTCCTTGTCCACAGAAAAAAAAATTTTATTGATTCAATTTAATTGACTCCAATAAATATTATTTGATTCTGTTAAATATTTAATTGATAATAGTCAATTTATCGGTTATTTAAATCAAATAATTTTTTTCTATTGATACTATTTTTTTATTGATAAAATAAAAAATACCTATTTTATGTTTGACTAAAAGCTTTCTTTACCACTAATTTTTTTAATACCTTAAAAATTATTTTATTATCCTTTAAATTAAACAATTTAAGAATTAAAATAAAAATTTTTTGTAAAATTATACTAAACTGTATAGACAATAAAATATCTAGTATAAAAATCTGACTAAAATTTTGCATTAACTACTCACACGAAAACCGTAGTGTTTTTAATTATTTCGAACGAATAAAAGAAGATTTAGCTGAATGTATTTTTGTATAAATATTATTATTATGATTTTTAAAAATCTTGTAATAACGAAGCAGATTAAATACTAAAAATAAAATAAATTTAAATATTTAAAACAAAAAGTTTGATTAAAAAATAATCACTGACACAAATGTTTTACGAATTTAATAAATCAGAAATAATTTTTACAATAAAAAATATGAAGTTTTGCTGTAAATGTGATAAATATATATATATATATATCTACTATAATATATAAATATTATATCTACCAAAATTTAAATATTAGTTTGTCAGACTCAAAGATTTTTTTTTATCATTACCAATATTAATTTGCCAGAAACGCGAACTCAAAGTTAAATACTAAGAAAGTAGACATGTAAAATTTTTTTAACGTTTAAACTTTTTCATTTCCTCATCTTTTTTTTTGTCTCTTAAAGACTTAAAGAAATATTTCACTTCTCAAGCCAATCAAAAAGCAAAATGAAAAAAAAGAAAACAAGGTAAAAATATATATATTCAAATGCATGCGATAAGAAAAGTGCATAATTGACTGCCAACCAGCATTGACTTAATTAGTTTTTGAAATTAAAAACCTAATTGACATGCTGGGTGCAGACAAAAAAGAGGAGAAAATATGAAAAAAAATTTAATCTTCTTATTAAAGGCAACAGTTTTCCTATTACAAATGTTAATATCATTCCACTTTTTAATACACTTTTTTTTATAAGAATATTCTTCCTTTACACGCTTTATTTCCTATTTTTTTTATCTTCCATTTTTTTGTGTTCAAATATTATGTTTGATGTTACAATATTTTTTATAAACTTGTTCTTTGAAGTTTATTAATTTCCTTTTTTTCCCCATAAGTCGCCTTCTTTTTTAATATTACGAATACTGTGACTTTGATAACAAAAAAAAAATAAACAGAAAAAAAAATCTTTTCATTATATTGAGAGAAGCACTTTGTCTCATTAGTAATTCAATTATCTTAAAAACTTTTACGTTCAATTGAGATTAAAAAAAAGAAGAAGAAGAAAATACAGTCTCATTTCGCCTAAATAATTTGCATCGCAGTTATTTTCTATTAATAAACCATTATTATTATTATTATTATTATTACCCATCCAACGATAAATAATACGTGAAAATAATTCATACGTACAAGTAAATAGTGAAAGCACGGTGTCTATTTTTATGAAAAATTTTATTAGAATCAATGAACTATAAAAAAAAATGTACACTTGAGTTAAAAAATTATTTTCCTGTTTTTTTTTCTTTTCAAAATATACAGGGGGGGGGGGTGAGAGAAGGTTGCGCGTGCATCTGATGTTCATTTCTGCAAATATGTGCAATCGCAACTGCTGGCAGGAGATATCAATATTCCTGAATAAGAGTCACAATGCATAACACATACATACATGTGTTTGAACTCATGAATACAGTGAGTGAGTAGTGGTTGGCTAGGTGAAAGAGGGGTGGGAGAAGGGGAAACTGGTGATGCACCTGAAACAATATCCTTTACCCGGAATGCAATCACCCACTTCTTTTGATATTCCAGAATATTTTGATTTGGCAAAAAAAAAAAAAAAATTTCCGCATAGATGATGCTTCATTTCATTCAAATTTTTGCCAAGCAATAGGCTTTCTATTTGTAGCAACACATTTTCATTTCACGATTGAGTATGATTTTTTTTTACTTGTTTTCAATACGTTAACAACTTAAATTTTACTTTTGTTTTATAACGATTTTTAATTTTTGTTTGTTTTTTTTTTGTTTTCAGGATAAAACTAAAATTGAGAAAAGGAAAATAGGTAGCAAAAAAAAATTTATTTCAATTGTATCAATTTATTTTAGTTATTTATTTTATATTGATGAAATTGAAGAAAAAAGATTAGTTAACCCCTTCGCAGTCCAGTTGAAAATCGCTTGTGGTCCAAAAACGGTCCGAAAAAAAAGTTTACAAAAAAATATGATTTAATCATATATAAGGTTTTTGGGGTCGCTGAATTCGAATTTGAGGTTAGTTTTTGAAAATTCAAAATGGCGGATCCAATATGGCGACCAAATATGGTGGATAATTTTAAAATTAAAGCGTTTTAAGGGAAATTCATTTCTCGGAGGTTTTCGAGGTCGCTGAATCCAAATCTGAAGTCAGATTTAAAAAATTCAAAATGGCGGACCTAAAATGGCGACTTCAAAAAAAATTTTTTTTTCAGATTCCCTTAAAACTCGTTACTCGGGGGTTTTCGGGGTCTCTGATTACAAATATGATGTCAGATTTTCAAAATTCAAAATGGCGGATCCAATATGGCGGATGATTTCAAGATTGATGCGAAAAAAATATGAAGTTACCTCAAAAACCCCTGAGTAAACATTTTAGACAAATTTGTCAACATTCAAAAAATTTGATCGACATATTGAATCCACAATTTAGCATTTAGAAAAACGAACATCAAATTCGAATTCAGCGACCCCAAAAAACCCCAGGAACCGAATTTCGATCGAAGCGCATAAATTTTGAAATTATCTGCCATATTGGATCCGCCATTTTGAATGTTGTAAAACGAACATCAAATTCAAATTCAGCGACTCCAAAAACCCCCGAGAAACGAATTTTAATCGAATCGCATTAATCTTGAAATTATCCGCCATATTGGATCCGCCATTTTGAATTTTGAAAATCTGACATCATATTTGTAATCAGGGACCCCGAAAACCCCCGAGTAACGAGTTTCAAGCGAATTTGAAATTTTTTTATTTTTTGAAGTCGCCATTTTGGGTCCGCCATTTTGAATTTTTTAAATCTGACTTCAGATTCGGATTCAGCGACCCCAAAAATAGTAGTATGTACTTCGCTACTAAAATCAAATCATGTTTAGTATTTTTTTTTTGAGATGGCCATATATGGCCACAGACGCAAAGGTGGCACGACTTTTCGTGGCCATATATGGGCCATGGACTGTTAAGGGGTTAAGTGGAGATATTGGAGAAATGAAATATATTGATTTTGAAGATCTGTTATCTTTTTTTGGTTAGAAACAAATCCGGAGCACGAAGGAGAGGAATTAAATTTTTTTTTGCCTTCATCCGGTTTAATTGAGGAATTTTTTTTTTAATTTCTATGGTGAATTAAATTTGGTTAATTATTTGCACAAGAGGGGAAAAATGTCGTCTGACAGAGACGGACTTTTACTACTGATATAAGCAAAAATTGACAAATGAGTAAAATATGTAAATTAAATTTACATATATGTTTTTCTATTCATTTATTTATTCTTTAATATTAATTCCCATATTAATTAAATAATTTATTTTCAATTTATCAATTAATTTTCAATTTATTTAGGTATAAATATATATTTATAAAAATTTGATTTATACTTTAAATATTTAAAATATGTGTGCGAAAAATTTAACAATTTTTCGCTCATGTTTTATAAAAAGAAACAGAAAAATCATTTTTTTCAAACTCTTGTTAAAAAAAAGAGAGGAGAAAAATTTCCAATTTAATAAATAACTATTTTGAGCTCTATATATATATTTATTTATCATTTGTCACAGCTTTCACTGACCTGTTAAATAATTGGTCCAACGTTGATTTTGACGAATCAAATTTGAATATTACGCTATATTTGAAGTGTCACAATGATTCTACCTACAGTTGCGACAGTTTGAAAATTGAACCGTGATTTTCTCGTTTGGTCAAGCGCAAAAAACGATTTTTGAATGGATACACAGTTGCGCAAACGATGTCAATATAATTATATTATTGGTTGATAAAAAAAAAATTGTGAAAAATTTTTATTTTTTACACATTTTTAAAAATTTATTTTTTGCAAATAATTTATATATGAAATATTTAAAAAAAAACTAAAAATCTTTTTACTTTTTAATGTCAAATACTGAATATTTATTAAAACTTGTTTGATTTAATATTTTCATTTCAAAATTATAATAATATTTTCGTTTTTAATAAATTTAAAATATGGAAAAATACTTTTAAAAAAACTTTATATATTGAGAAATATTTTAAAATTGTTAAAAGTAGGAGAACATAGTCAGGGTTGGACCACCTTTTGAACTTTGTTTATAACTTAAAAAAAAATAAAAGGCAATTGAAATTAAAAGTTTTGAAAGTTATAAACATGTAAAAAAAATGTAGTCAAGGTTGGACCATAAATTTTAGGTTGGATTTTTATATTTGAAAATGAAAGGGCATTACCGATTAATCATAACAATTTTTTTTTTATTTTTGACATCATTTTCAATAATTGTGTTTATTTTATCATTTCAGATGTAAAGATGTCGATTCAATAATGGCCTTTGTCTATATTGATGGAAAGCCAGAAAAAATTGATGCCTTCTGCGGAGAAATGCAACCACGACCATTAATGAGCAATGGACCACGATTGCTTCTCGAATTTCAAGGGAGAGAATCATCGAGACATGTAAAGGGCTTCAAGGCCATGTATTATTTCATTGAAAGTAAGTAAATATATACATTTTTACACTAATCTCATAAATTTAACCTCCCCCTCTCCACAATTTATATAAAAAAAAAATTATACCCAGAATATTTATTACGCCTATTATTTTATACATGATAGGAATTTTTAAAATCCAACTAAATTCCATTTTTCTATAAATATGATAAAAATCATCGAAGATAAATGATACATATCATATAGAAATAAGCTATCTATACGTGCTTTTCGTCCAGAATCAAAATATACGATCTTACCATCAAATCCGCTTCTCCTCTCTTATACTCAGGACCATGACTGCTGTACTGTGTCAAAATTTCAATTTCCGTTGAGCATTCTATCGATGAGAGCAATTCATCTTTTCCCGACGGCCGTTTATCATATTTCCTCGGATTCTCTTCAACATTGCAGCATTTCATAGTACAGGCACAAATCGTCGTTGAGAACGACAAAACAAAACAAAACACAAAAAAAAAATACGCCACCTTTTTTCCGATGCACAAAAATAAAAAACCACGCAACAAAAAAAAAAAAAAAAAGAATCAGAAAAAAAGGGAGTAAACTTCTATGATTCATGTTAAAGTTGCTTCGTTTCATAACTCATTTTCTAATTAGTGACTCAATCTTGCAAATGGTCGAAATTTATAACGACTGGATAGTGGAGTGATTTTTTTAATTGAAAATCTTTTTTTTTTTCGAAAAACAAGGTGATAGGAGTAAATTTTAAACTGACGGGTATTTGCGAAAAAATATTACGATCTGTCTGAGTTAAACGATCTTTTACTTCTTATTTGCAAAAATAGAAAAATAGATTTTGCTTTAGCTGACTGGAAATGTTTCATACTATTAGACAAACTTTTATAAGTTCTGACTAAGAGAGACTGTAAAAAATATAGAAAAAATAAATTATGTCTGCCTATATCAGACTTTGACTACTGAAACTAACTGATATTATATAATTTCATTTTTATTCTTGACTTTATACTTTCACTTTTACTTTAATAGATTTCTGTTTTCACTTTCATTCTCACTTTCACTTTTAGAGATTTTTCATTTACCTTTGATTTCACTTTGATAGATATTTATATCCACAAAGCTATCAAAATGAAAGTGAAAATAAAAATGAAATTACATAATCGACCCTCTGATAGTCAGCTAGAAAAAGGATTGACTAAAATTTCCAATAAATAATTTTCAAATAAAATCTAAATATTCTTTTTTGTTTGCTACTAAGATTCAAATTACTGAGAAAATATTCTGTCTGACGAGAGACGTCTTTTTCACTTTTCCTATGAAACTATAATAGGAATTTTATTAACTCTGAGATAAACTTCCAAAATTTTATTACTAAATGTGAACTTCAGTCATAAAGTTTTGCATTGTATGCAAAAATACTGTCTGACTTAAAATTGACTTATCCACTGAAACTCATATTAAACAGATGATATTCACATTGTCAGAAATTTTCCTTTACCGACAATATTAAATTTTCAAGAATAACAATATTGAAGATAAACGGCAATTTTATTAATTTTTAAGAGACACTTAAAATATAAAAACCAAAACAAATTTTTTAATTTAAACCGACCTTAAGTACTGAAAAAACAAACTGCATATTTTTGCTAGTGCGTCTGATTAAAACATACATTTTCTACTTGCATTTTAAAACAAAATAATATTATAATAATTGTTTCCCATTCTTTTAAACTTGTTAATTAAATTAAAGAGTAAACTTATTTATTCTACTGAAAATAACTGATTAATTATCTAATTTTTTTAATATGAATTTTTTATATATATAATGGCTTATAAAAAGTTTAACTAATTGAATACAATTTTAATTTCAAAGTTCAATTGTACAAAAAGTAAAAAATTAAAATAAAATTAATAAATAATTATCTTCAAAGGGAGACAGACTGAGATTAACATGTTCTACTGAAAATAAACGTATAATGAATAAATTTAAATGCAATTGAAAATGGTTTTTAAATACAATTAAAAATAAGATGTAATGTCTGACTTGTACTATTTACTATTAAATATTATTTTTGTTGCAACTAAACTTTAAATAAAATTTAAATCAAACTAATTTTTTTCTTCTAGTGCGAAAAATCGAAATACTTGTTTTGTCTGATTAAAATTGACTTATACTACTGATTTTCTAATATTGATCTCTACTTCTGAAATGTAAAGAAGTTTAAATGAAACTAAATTTTTTTACAGAGTGTAAAATATAGAATTGTTCATGTCTCTGATTTAAACTGACTTATAGTACTAATTATAAAATTAAATATAAGTTTGACTATTTTCATTGAAAATGATATTACTTTCATAGGTAGAAACAAAAACGAAAATTTAAACAAAAAATTACATCTAAACTAAAATCGACAATTACTTAAAAAGTTTGTCCGACTAAAACTGACATATAATACTGATTGTCCGTTATTATATCTATCTATTATATTTATTATTATATCTAATACTAAAAATAAAATCATTAAGAAATTTGAATAAATATAATTTTTTTCATATAAGAAAGCAAGAATTTTTGTATACTCTTACTTAAATTGTCTTGTTCTATTCATTTAGGAAAAACTTGTCTGACTAAACGTGACTTGTACTACTGAATGTCTTATACTTTAAACTTTTTGGAAGCGATAATAAAAACAATTATTTGTCCGAATGAAACTGACTTGTTTTACTAATTGTCCGTCATTGTCTTCTAATATTAAAAATAGAATTATTAAGAAATTTGAATCAATCTAATTTTTTTTTTTTCATATAAGAAAGCAAGAATTTTTGTTTTGTCTGACTTTAAATTGTCTTATTCTACTGATTTAGGGAAAACTTGTCTGACTAAATGTGGCTTGTACTACTGAGTGTCTTATAATTTTAATTTTTGTAGTTTAACTTTTTGAAAGTGATAATAATAATAATAATTAATTGTCCGACTGAAACTGACTTGTACTACTGATTTTCAGTTATTGACTTCTAATATTGAAAATAAAATTATTAAGAAACTTGAATCAATACATTTTTTTCATAGAATAAAAACAAGAATTCTATTGTTTTCTCTGACTTACATTGACTTATTATTCTACTGATTTAGGAAAAACTTGTCTGGCTGAAAATGGCTTGTACTTTTACATTTTTTTCATAGAATAAAAGCAAGAATTCTTCTTTTGTCTGACTAACATTGACTTATTCTACTGATTTAGGAAAAACTTGTCTGGCTGAAAATGGCTTTTTACTTTTACATTTACTACTGAAAATAAACTTATAAAGAAATTTAATCAATCTAAATTTTTTTTTCAAATAGTTTTATGAATAATAATTCTTGTTATATCTGACTTAAATTGGTTTATACTACTGATTCAGGAATTATTTTTCTGACTAATATTGACCTATACTACTGACTTACACTCTAAATCTGAATCAGTGAAAATTTCACTGATTTCAATTCAGTGGCCCAGTTTTCTTTAATTCATCAGTGGGATTTCACTGAGAATCAGTAAAAACCACTGATTGTCAGTGAAATTCTACTGATTCATCAAAGAAAACTGGGCCACTGAATTGAAATCAGTGAAATTTTCACTGATTCAGATTTAGAGTGTACTGATCTACTACTAAAGATAAACTTTCAATATTTAAATTGAACTGAAATTTGGAACTTTTCTTGGAAAAAAAACCAATAAATCAATTTAAGTCAGATAATTGTTTTGTCTGACTAAAATTGATTTATACTACTGATTTTCTAATATATTTATTTATACTACTGATTATCAACTTATACAGAGATTTTAATATCAATATTTACTTATTAGTTGTTGGATTGAAAAATAACTGATAAAATTAAATTCAGAAGTAATAATTGTTACATTAAATAAAATCACGTTTGGATGACATGCCATAACGAGGACAATTAGACAGTCTCAAGTAATTGCGAATAGAAAAACAATAAGACCATAAAGTACTTAAGTTTCGTGTTAATTTGTTAGATGCTGTTTCGAAAGCAGTTCGGGAAATATTACATTGCAAGTTACTCTAGGTATACATATACATGTATGCATCAAAAACGGAAATGTTGGGAAACATTAAAACGCAACAATGGTTCTAAAGGGAAGTTTCGACTTCCGGCAAAGTTGATATGAATGCACACGTATATATGTATATACATATATTCACTTCTGTGGATCTGTAAGCCACTTGATGGTATATTCCAACTAGCGAATTGTCGCTCTCTCCCTATACCCAACGTTGTTTTCCAAAGTTTCTTCGCCATTATCGTGTGTTCCTATACTCTCTCTCTCTCTCTCTCTCTCTTTCTCACTCACTCTTGTAAATCCATCAGGGCCAAGCATGCCCGTTTCGAATCACGAGGGAACGTGAAACGTCATCAGGAATGTGTTGTTCAAAGTGTTTCATGAAACCTTCTCCGGCTTCGAAAGGAAGAAAACTTTTTAATCGACGTGTCTCTCTTTTCCCTGGCTACGTGACTCGCTATAGATTCACTTTTAAAAACTTTTCTTTTTCTTTCTCTCTCTCTCTCTCTCTCTCTCTCTCTCTCAATCTCTCTGTTTCTCTTTCTCGTTTCCTTCAAAAGGCTCGCATCATTCGACGACAACTCTCTTAATGGAATAGCCTACATTTCTTCCAGAGAGCTCCGAATTCGTTTCATGTAAATTTATTATTAACTCGAAGAAATAATACGAAAATGATGGTGAATAAATTATTTCTTCTCAATTGCATTGACAAAAAATTTTTCTTAGATGGAAAAATAATAATTATCTACTTATTTTTTTTTTTTACTAAAAAAGGTCTAGTTAGGTCAGACAATTGATTTTCAAAAAACAAATATCACAAATTGAGTTTACAATTAGTAGAGAGTAGAAAGTAGAATAAGTTTTAGTCAAACGTAATTTATTCTTTTTTTGCACTTTTAAGTAGTTGAAATCTGTTTTGGTCAGACTTTGTAATGTACACGTTGAACTTTTACATTAC